AAAAAAAAAAAAAAAAAAAAAAAAAAAAAAAAAAAAAAAAAAAAAAAAAAAAGAAAAAGCCTTACATCACTCTTTCTCCAAATTGGTGTCCATGATGCAAGAAAGAAAACGAATTATAAAGCCACTTGTTTATGCAATATGCACATACGCTCATAATTTTTGGACAACGATTTTCAATACATTTGGATGATATCTCACATTTCCTAGGGAGGTAAGCGATCTATTGGATATGACCTTAACGTACTACCCTTTCAAGAATGCAAAAGGCCTACTATGGAAAAATCTCATCATGACTTTCTTTTGGAATATGTGAAAAGAAAGAAATCAGGGAATATTTACGAAAAAGACACAAATCTATGTAGAACTTTTCGACAAGCTTGTTTACCAAGCTATATCTTAGTGTAAACTGTCTAATATTTTTACGTCCTATATTATACCTCCCTCCTCGCAAATTGAGAATTCCTTATGAAAAATAATATTGAACTAAACTTCAATGTTATCCGACATCTAACATATGTTAGGTGTAGTTATGTATCTGTTTGGTTAGTGCTGTGACTCCTTTTGTGGGCTGTTTTTACCCTTTTATATATTTTATTCTTTTTCTAAAGCTTGGTTTTTTACCCAACAATTCTCTGTTTTCAGGATTTGACTACATTTGTGTGTGTCTGCATTCCTGAGTTTCTGTCTCTTTACGAAACAGAGAGACTAGTTCAAGAACTCACCAAGTTTGAGATCGATACTCACAATATTATCATTAACCAAGTAATTTACAATGACGAAGGTACGACAGTTAACTGAATCCCTACACATATATTCTGTAAAGTGATTTGGAGCTTCCCTGTTTCTTAACCATATGTATGTGCTCTGCCGTTTTAGATGTTGAATCCAAGTTACTGAAAGCGAGAATGCGAATGCAACAGAAGTATCTCGACCAATTTTACATGTTATATGATGACTTCCACATCACCAAATTGCCATTACTGCCTCAAGAGGTACTGCTTTCTCTGCACATATTTGTCTCAATATATCGAGATTCATTCTGTTTTCTTTTATCATCTACTCCATAAATGCTTTTTCCTTCATGTCTGCCATTGGGTTTTGTTCCAAGTCTTGAATTATATTTTGTTTTTTAAACTTATCATTCTCTCCTGTATAATTATTGAAGTTTGGTAGACCTTGGAAGGAGAAGGAAGGTAGAAATGGCAATAGGTGCCTATTCACCCGATCCTAGTCTTATAGTAGTGAGTACCGATTTGTTGTACCGTCTGAGACAAGTTGCTAACTCTTAATACATATCGTGTTCTGTTATATCAATCTTATTTTTAGTTAGTATGAACATAACTTAGTGGATAAAACACCAAAGTTGAAGATGCCAAGCAAGAGCTTTGATTTGAAAACAGAAAGAGGCAAAAGAAAAAGATTGGGAAGAGCTTTGATTTCCAAACTTGTTGTGCACCGTATTGCAGGTGACTGGGGTTGAAGCTCTGAAGGACTTTTCAGGTAAGTTTGTGAGGCCATATGAACCAGCGACTAGCAGAGACTCGGTGGAAGACTTGGAGAGGAAAATATCAACGTTGAAACAGCAGTTGAACGATGCTGAAGCTGAGCTTGATAGAATTAGAAAAGGGAAGCAAAAGGCCTAAAAACAATACCCTTTCTTTTTCCCAACTCTCTATTATCTTTGCTTTTGTTTTTCCTTATTACATTTTTTTTTCTTTTAAAGAATTTCTTCTTGGAGAATTATAATACCGAAAGTGTTTTATTAGAACAGATGCTGCTGCGTAAACTTGGGACTTGGGACTATTTTTACTGTTTCGATTTTCTGGTCAATATAGTTGTTCATTCATTATTCCAGTTTCTTCGACTTTTATTTTCATTACGAAAGATGGAACTCCGCATCAAGATTTTTGGTATTGAAAATCAGTCACCGTTACTTCAATGCTTCAACCTTAAAGAAAACTTCTATGGTTGTCTCAATATATTTCTGTGTCTGACATGTTGAAAAGAAATATTTAAAATACCTTTTCGAACTTCTTATACAACAGAACATGAACATGAATTGAAATGCCTATGAATATAGCCTTTCTTCTACTTTATTCAGTCATTGAACATGAACATCCACCCCAACAAGATGATTTCACAAGCCTCAGAGCAAACTCTGATCAGGATTATTCTTTGTATAGTTTAAGATAACAAACAATACGTATTTTTAAGGTTAAAATGCCACAATATTCTAGACAACAATCACGTAGCTACAAGCTGGAAAAGCCATATTCCTTACTGAGTTAGCCTCCATGCAGGGTGGATATGAACACCACCACGTCTTTCTCTTCCAATGGTGTATCAAGCTGCCCACTCAGCTCCCAATCACAATCATTTACAAGCACCAGAACACCAGGTCTTCTGCAGGAACCACATTTGAAACCATCACAATTCTTCACCCACTTTCACGTTCATCCTCTCATTCACAATCTTTAAAAAAGAAAATTGAGAAACTAATGAGATATTTCTTTTACAACTTACACAGTGTCGCCTTTCATAAACATTTCTGGCCTCTCCTTGATCAGATTACTTCGGACCCAAGAGAGCAAATCTTTCATAATTAACTGAGAACCGTTTTGAAAGAAAGCATTAGACTTGCTTGATAAACAGAGGAATGAAGCATGAAAATATGAATCTGATATTGACTCGATCTTTCATTAAATTGTTGAAAAGTTTTAATTTACCGTTCCCGCTCCATTTTCAGGATCAACGCTGACATCGTGGATCTTCACAGAGTCACATAGTAACTCCAATCCCCCACTGCATTTAAAAGTTAATATTACTGTCATGTTTAACATATAAACACTAGCTGAAAAAATAAAGCCTAAAGAATGACATACTGCATCGATATCTTTTCCGTTTCACCTTTTACATTCATAAAAGACACAATAAAAATGCAACCTAGAAGCATATGGAAGGATAATTTCTAATATTGCAGAAAAAGGCTATTCAAGATACTGCCACATTATTTATTTTCCTTCTTTTTTGGTTTTGGTGGGGATGAGGAAATATAGAGGGTACTGATGGAGTCAAAATCTGCAAGCACTGTAAACAACACACTGATGAATTGTTGAAACAACATATGCAATTATAAATGGTACAATCCAGCCAAAGAGTTCCACCGAGCACAAATAAAAGTTGAATATGATAAAGAACAGGTTATCGATTTCCAATGTATATATAATCTAACGAAAGAACAACGGAGTGTAATTTACAAACTGGCATATGCTTCAAAAACAATGGTAATAAACGAACAAAACCAGAATGAAAACAATATGGAGGCAGTGAAGCAACTGGATATTCAAGCAAAACTATAGTTTTGGTCCCAATATCCTGAAGAATAGGTGCAGATTTTGAATTATTGACAACTAAACACAAACAATTATATCCAATAGTCGATCTTTTCTTCCCTTGAGCCAGCTCAAGAGAAATATTCCCCAACATCAGTATCACGATACCTCATTAATACACAGAATTCACGAACTCAAGAGTTTGCTCAAATTCAGAAAACAATCGATTTTTATGGATAGACAACGACACAGAAATTCAAGTTTATAAGCTGCGAAAAAACATAAAAACACGATCGAATAAGATATTTCTTCTAATTTCCAACTTTCCCAGAAACAGAAGGCATTGAAACTCTGTGTTCCAGGATCAGAGCTAAACAAACTGGGAAATTTTCCTTCCAAGTAAAATTTGAGAGAGAGAGAGAGAGAGAGAGAGAGAGAGAGAGAGAGAGAATTACCCAAATTCAAGTGTGAGTTGCATTTTCAATTTGCTTCCGCGGAACCCTAAAATAAAACCCTAGAGAGAAGACAAAGAACAGATCCTTAATGGGGGGATTTTAGAAGTAACTTCAGACGCACCGTATGATACAAACTATTCAATTCGGGTTGAACCAAATTTTAGTTTCTATCTTCTGATTTTTTATTTTGAGTTTTTCGGATTTAGATCTTATTATAAATACTCCTAAAAATATCTAATAAATCATTAATCTTTTAATTTTGTGTTTAATACATTATTAAAATATTTGATTTTTTTTTTTAATTTTAAAAAACTACATATTTATTTTTTTAAATTTAATATGACTCCAAATTTTCACTACAAAATTTCAACTTTCATCAAATTTGATCACAAACGCGAACAAATATTGCAATTTTTATAATACTCTAATCATCATTGGAACTACACTCGCGAATATTTTAGATTCTTGCACCAATAGATAAAAGGATATGATCTTTTTATTTGTTCGCAATGATATTGACGTTTGGTTTTAGTTCGTGTTTCTCTCTCCATCCAGATGCAGCCAAGTTTGTAAGGCAGTATGGAGGGTTTTCCAGATTGGCTGCTGTAATTGGGGTTCTGCAAAATTCCGGTTTCCCCTTCCCATAAATCCCAATTTGGTTCCTCCTTCTCTTCGCGCTTCTTCTCCTACAATTTCTCCCTTCATCAGCTACCTTTTCGTTTCTAGTTTCCTGAAAAGTTCTCGAGCAGGATCCCTCTTTTTGAATGACCGTACCGTTGTGTTCTTAGATCCAATTTTTCTTTCGGCTGGCTATGAGGAGGGTTCTTCCTTGTTGCATCTTAGGGTTTTAGTTTGTACCAGGTTCTTGGACGATTCGAGTGTTTCTTTCTTTTGTTGCCGCTGCGTTGTGATTCTTTCAAGTCATGGAAGCTTACAAGAAGTGGGTTAGGGATAACAGAGACTACCTTCACTCTTTTGAGTCTCTTGCAAATGTGAGCACTATAGATTTCTTATCATTACCCGCTCGTTTCTCTATTTGATTTCATCTGGGAATTTATTTGGTTGACTTGTTTGTTCTTTAATCTGTACGTAAACGGTGCTGCCCTTGGCTTTTATGGCGTTCTCTATTAAGTAATATTAGCATCTTTTTGCTAGTAGTTTATTTAAAGAACGGCTTTATGTTTCCACAGTTTATTTTCTGCAAATTTAAGATGGCATGCATGTCATGATGTTGATTTGATTTTTAAAAGAATAAGAGATATAGACAACAGATGGTATCCATATGTCTGATAGCAATGAGCATGAAGAGACCATTAAGTCAATTTATTCCTTGAAAATGAAGATTGATATACTATGGTCATTTTTTGTGAGTTTTGAATGTTCAACACTAGTCGATCGCCCGGCATTTTTATTGAAATCAGTTTGGGTAAACTGCACCTAAGTGCGTTTAATGTTATTAACATGTTCATTCTACATGATTATGTTCCTGTATGAGAGTACCCGCAAACTTTCTTATATACCATGAAACATATCGTCATTTGGTTATATGGATCTTATTATATTTTGATGTTTTTGATGGTCTGTGTATTGTTTAGGTATTGAAATTGTAACAGCCTAAGCCTATCGTTAGCCGATATTGTCTTTTTTGGACTTTCCCTTTTGGGTTTCCCTTCAAGGTTTTAAAACGTGTCTGGTAGGGATAGATTTCCACACTCTTGTAAAGAATGCTTCGTTCTCCTCTTCAACCAATGTGAGATCCCACTATCCACCCTCCTTTGGGGCCCAACATCCTTGTTGGCACTCGTTCGGATTGTGGGATCCCACGTCGGTTGGAGAGGGGAACAAAACATTCTTTATAAGGGTGTAAAAACTTCTCCCTAACATATGTGTTTTAAAACCTTGAGGGGAAACCCCGAAGGGAAAACCCAAAAAGGACAACATCTGTTATCGGTGGGCTTGGGCTGTTATAGAAATATAGAAAATACCGAACTATTTGCATGTCGGTGAATGAGCCTTTTTCACTGTTTGATCACAAGCAATTGTAACCCCCCTTGTAATAGATCTTTTACTGCTTGCTTGTGTTGGCCTCATTATAATGCGGAACAACCCATTCAAATTACCTTGCAATGAGAGAAATAGAGTAGATTGGCTGAAAAGTTGAACCACCTTACTTTGACAGACATGTTTAATCGATATTATTAGTACATAATCTCCTCTAGAGGTTAATCTTACGGCAATTGTAGAACAATTTTTTTGCCATTTGAAAGTAGAACTGGGATGGTGGAATCTTGTTCAAGGATCATGGAAATATCAACGTTGGATGGGTTTCCATGTGCTAATTTGGTGCATGATGTATTTTGTCATCTCATGTTTGTTTGTCATAAAACAGGTTAATTTCTCGATAGTTTTTGAAAACTGTTATATTACCATGATTAAAGTCAACTGTTAGTAGATCTGAGAGTATAAGTTTGTGGATTTCTACCTTTTATATGGTTCTTAATACTGTACAGGGCTTGACGTGGCTTCTTCCTGAACGATTTTCTGATTCAGAAATTGGACCTGAAGCAGGTTTTGTGAAACTTTGGTAACACTTGACTGCTTCTTCTGAGCTTGGAATTTGTAGTGCCCTTGGGTCCCCTTTGATGAATATGCATGTCTTCATATTTGTCTCACTTTCAAATGCTATAAATTTACAGTAGACCATATCAAAAGCATTCTGATAGCCAGCAAGGTTTTCTTAAGTTATTCTGTTTTCATTTTTCAACTTAGGGGTTCGAACCTCGTAACTTTGGAAGCTATCTCCCTACGTTCTAAGTTTGTACCAACAAACGTGAAAATTTAACTGCTATTTTGCTGTTTACTGGCGTTGTCTTGTCAAATGAACACGTTCCTGGCTTCTTTGTTCTAAAGTTTTGCCTTGCTCTGAGTGGATGATTTGCAACTTTGAAGCTATTATTAATTAGTTTAGGGATTTCTGCAGTTTCTGCCGCTGTTGGCATTGTCACTGCAGTCAATGAACACATAATCGAAACAGCTCCAACCCAGATGCATGTAAACGCAACTGTGCCATCTTCATTTCCTTATTCACTATGCATATCTGCTCTGAAAAACTTGGAAACATTGATTGAAGTTGCTGCACAACAATATTATGGTGATGATAAACGATGGAACTTCATTGCTGTTACGGAGGCTTTGAAGTAAGACACAGTTGATGAGTGTGGGAGTGCCATTTTTTAATCTTCTGATACATTTTTATTGCATAGTCTTTGCCTTTACATTAGTAGCCGTTGAATTTCAGGGTACTCTTTAGATTAGCTCTGTTCAAGAATTGTGGGTACAAGATCCTTCTTGATGGAGGAGAAACCATAAATAACGAAAGACATCTGAAAACTTCAACTTCTCAGCACAGACCTAATGCTTTCACAAAGCATGGTGGGCATAATGCATCTGGTTATTCAGGATATCTTAATGGACATGACCAATGGAATCTAGAAGGGAGGGCATTATCTGCATTAAGCAGGTTCGGGGAAAAGGCTCGGATGATTTCAGCACCAGCATGGTCGTATGGGGTTCAGCACCAGCATGGAATGTTCAATCCTTCAGGTGCCTATATCGATCCCAAGTTCCTAGAGTTTTGTGGGGGGAATGTCTACTGACAATTAATTGTGCGTTTACAGCTACAACGCCCGAGAGGCCTACACTTTCTACTATTTTGTCTGAACAGGGTCATCGCGGGGCTCTTTTCGTGACTGGAGAAGTACTTTTCATAACACGACCGCTTATTTACGTTCTTCTAATCCGCAAATATGGGAGTCGGTCGTGGACTCCTTGGTTTCTTTCACTGGCTGTGGACCTCCTTGGGACATGCTTTTTATCATATGCTACCTCAGCATCGACGAGTAGAAAAAACCAAAGATCATGCCTTTCCGACTCTGAGAAGGATGAGGTCGTGTACTCTAGTTCATCCTACATAGTAACTTTATTGGGTTAAAAACTTAACTGTCATTCTTATATTAACTTCAACATGTTTGACTTGGTTCAGCTGAGAAGACGGAAGATGCTTTGGGCATTTTACCTCATGAGAGACCCATTCTTCGAGAGATATACAAGGTGCATACATGCTTCAAGATTTAAACTTTTTGAGTCGAGAATTTCTCGACTTCAAACTTATAAGTCTTGGATTGAAACCGATTATGCTGAATGTTTTTTCAGGCGAAAACTTGAAGGGGCCGAAAAAGTTTTAGAACCTGTACCTTTTGTCGGATTCCTCACAGGTTCGAAGTGTATCCATTTGCGATAGTTGTAGATTTAAGATGATGTGGATTATAGCTGATATTTACTGTGTTGATGTGCAGCAAAAATTGTTGAGCTTATTATTGGAGCTCAGACAAGATATACTTACATGTCAGCGTCATGAGATGAGAGGGAAATTGGAGTTTGAAGGGCCCAAGTCTTCCCTCCTGGTTTGTTGTTTCTACGCTTCATACAAATATTTGGTGACGTTTCTTTTTGCAATCAGCTATTCTGAATAATAATAATAAGAATAATAATAATAATAATAATAATAATAATAATAATAATAATACTAATACTAATAATATAGTTGGTGAAATAAAATGTGTCTTTATTTATTTCAAATAATTTTAATTCACAGGGCATATTTTTATCATTGAAAGTAACGGTTTAATGATAAAAGACAGTTAAGAGAAGGCAAATGGAATTAAAACTCAATTATTATGAAGTTGTTTGTATGTCAAGTCAGCGAAATTTCGAGGTGTCCACAAATCGATTATTAAAAAACACGGTTAAATAATAATAATAATAATAATAATAAAAAAGGAAGTAGGGCCCATCGGGCAAGGTCCCCATCTAGAAAAACCGACGTGGACCCCATTGCAAGGGGATAGCAAGGGGGGCATGTCCATTGTATGTAGTACAGGCATGGGGCCCTTCAGTGTGATTAGTAGTGCTGGTGGGTCCCACCATCCGTGAAGGGAAGGGAAGGGAAGGGAAAGGAAAGGGGTTGGTTGGTTGGTTGGTTGGTTACTTGGTACGTGGTGTTTTAAATAGATTTTGTCTTTTTTAGTTATTTAATTATTTTTGTACAATTCAAAAATTAAAAGACGTAGTGAAAATTGATAAAAGATACTGAATAGTAAGTTTTAAGTAGTTAATGGTTAAAAAGGTAATTATTGATTAGTAAGTCTAAGATGAAGAGTTTGTAAGAAGAAGTTAATTATATATGATATGATATGATATGGGTTTAGGTAGTGGGCTGGGGGAGGATAGATATGGTTGACAAAGTGACGTATAGAGTAAGCTTGGAAGGGTGCGTCACATGAGAGTCATTCTTAGTGGGCTTTCCATCATCATCTAGGTTTGGATTTGGACTTTGAAAATTAATACCCAACTTTTAACCCTTTTATTAACCCTATCTTTAACTACTTACTATTCAACTCTAATATTCTGAAAAATATTAATTAATTAATTAATTATTTATTTATTTATGATTATGTAGAGAAATAATATACTCCGGAATTCATGAACATTGATTTGTTTATTCTCCAGAATTGATTCCCAAGGAATCCCTATCTCTATCCTGCAAATACATTAGGATGAGTCTATTCAAATATACCTTATTTACTTTTAATTCTTTTCATTTTTCTGCCCAACCTTGTATTTTTATATTTGTTGTAGTAGAATTTTATATAACCTAATTTGGTTTCAAATTTAATTTGGGAGATGTAATTTTGGAAATTTATTTATAGGACTTGGCGATAGGTTAGAGAGAGGAGAGAGGAGAGAGGAGAGAGGAAGAAATGGGAATGGCAAGTTGGGAGTTATTGGAAGAAGAAAAGGTGATGGGGGTAGGTCCATCATCCCCAGCTTTGACCCAACACTACTGGGCCCCACCCTTCTTTGGCAACTCTTCCTTCTTCTCCCAATTTCTTCTTTTTCTTTCCTTAAATCCCCTCTCCCCACTTCTTCCTCTCCCCTCTCCCCTCTCCCCCCCTCCCTCTCCGCCCATGGCCGATATTCACAAACAAGACCTCGACGACCACCACCACTCTCCGCCCACCCATCTCTCTATCAATAACTCCGACTCCTCTCCAATGAACCTTCTTCCCCTTGCTCCCAAGCGGGAGCATCCCGACAACGACCACGAAACTCAGGTCGTCAAGTTCACGGCAGAGATACCTAAAACGGTCTCGTCTATCCCCCCCAAGAGACCCTCCACCAAGGATCGCCACACCAAGGTCGAGGGCCGAGGCCGGAGAATCCGAATTCCGGCTACCTGTGCGGCGCGTATCTTCCAATTGACTCGTGAGCTCGGCCACAAGTCCGACGGCGAAACCATCCGCTGGCTTCTCGAACGGGCCGAGCCGGCGATCATCGCGGCTACTGGGACTGGTACCGTTCCCGCCATCGCCATGTCTGTTAATGGCACTCTCAAAATCCCCACCACCACTTCCTCTTCTAACCAAGATTCCACCGATCAATCCGCCAGTAAGAAGCGGCGTAAGCGCCCCGCTAACAGTGACTATGTTGACGTAAATGACGCCGTTTCCGTTTCCGTCTCCGCCTCCGCCTCCGCCTCCGCCTCGAACGGCTGTGTTCAGGCCGCTACCGTTGCCGGTTCCCCCGCCGTCCAACAGCCTTTTCCACCGGGGTTTGTTCCAGTGTGGGCCATCCCATCGAACGCCATAATTCCCGGGGCGGTTTTCATGGTTCCATCCGTGGATTGCTCTTCCACCCGTCCGCAGTTTTTCTCATTCCCGACCCCGGCAGCGCCGCTCATCAACACAACGGCCCGACCCATTTCCACCGTCCCGTCGAAGCTGCACACATCTCACATTCAAGCAAACACCACCAATCAAAGCTCGAGCACTTCAAACTCCTCCGCTTCCAAGTCTGAATCCGTCATGGCGCCGATCTCGAGCTCCACCGTCACGACAAACGGCAAAACTACGAAACAGATGCTCAGAGAATTCTCATTGGAGATATACGATAAGGAAGAGCTTCAATTCATGTCTCGCTCGTCGGAAAGAATGAAGACAGAATAGACGGGAAGTTGTTTTCGATTCAATATCTCACTCTCTCTCTCTCTCTCTCTCTCTCTCTCTCTCTCTCTCTCTTTCTCACCCTGTGTAATCTATCCGCCATCGACGAACCAGAAAAGAAAGCTTGAGACGAAGAACGAATGGAAGAAGGAAAAAAGTATCGTTTATTTTTTGGAAGTGCAGCAGAAGGAAGGGGAAGCACGAGGCAGTCACGTGGTAGACGTGAGGATCGAAAAGTAAATGCACGTGTAAGGTGGGGGTGGGGTTTTTCTTTTTATTTTTTTGGTGAAGGCGCAAAGGTGTGGGGACCACATCAGCGAGATGGGTCAACACTACGGAAAGACAAAAATTTTCCTTTTTAATATATTTAAAAAAAACAAAAAATAAAAGAGAGTGGGGTCCAGGTCAGTGGTGGAAACGAGTTATGCTGCTCCGTGGACCGTGCAAGCCTGGTGTGGGGACTACTTTTTAGCCTCCTTGTGTCTATGTGATGGAGGTTGGGGAGGGCCCGGGTCCACTTGATGGGCCCAACGGCGGCCTTTTAGGCCTGGAGCATGTGGTGGTCCCCTCTGCCCGGCCTACAACCGGGTTGTGGGTTCTGTGGTCCGAGCCAGGTGCATGGCTGAAGGATAAATGAACACGTGTTACACTGTGGGTTAGCTGGAGACTAAGAGCGTTCCTTGTTGCCACGTGGATCAATCAGAATGGTTTGGTATGAGATGCTTTTCTGGAAAACTTGGGGTTATTTTGGTGAGAGAAAGAAAGAGTTTGTAAATTCATTGTTTAGCTGAATTCTTGATAATCCATTAATGATTAGTTTCTGCGTCTATTATATATTTATATACGCTTCGATTTTAATATTTTAGTTGTCTATTATATATTTATATATGCTTCGCTTCGATTTTAATATTTTAGTTGTCTATTATATATTTATATATGCTTCGGTTTTAATATTTTAGTTGAATACTGACTTGACTGATGTATCGACAATAAGAAATGTTTCATTTCCTCGCAAACTAAATTAAAAAAAACCGTTTCAATTCCAATAAATGTTTTGTTCTCCAGCCTTCCAAATAACAGATATTATTAACATTAAAAACAGAACCACATGGATGAGGGTTACAAAGGCCACTCCCAAGAAAACGGGAGAAAAAGATGGCCATTCTGTGTATAAATTCTCCCTTCATTTTCCTTAATAGTTACTAACAAAACTTTCCAGAGCTAGAAACTAGAGCGCTCTCGTTCGTTAGGTCTTGAATACAACCAGAGGTTATTTAGATAGTGAGGTTCTCCTGAATCCCAAGAAATGAACCAACTATTTTTCCTCCTACGTCTGGAAAATTTTCATGTCCAGGAAGGGATTTTACTCTCCCTCTTCTATCAACTTCAACAGGGTACTTCAGAAGGTGTCCTCTCATCTCTGTTACTTCATCTGCAGCAAACTGTTTCCAGTTTAATTCTCCCATTGTTCTAACTCTTCTCACGCATTCCAGGCTCTCCGGTTCATTGAAACACTCTTCCATCGTTCCTGTATGCTCCGCCCACAACGACATCCTATATCCATAGATCTGCAGGGCAAGACATCCAAATCCCACAAACGATTCAGGAATGCAGTTCTATGTATGTAAAATTCTTCACACCAAATGAACTGATGCATGTATAACTACTTCTTCACTTTATTGAGGCTCTACACAGATATGGGGACAAAGAAAAGGAACTACAAAGTAATGTTTAAATTATAAGCTTGATCTTCCAAATCTTTTAGACTTAAATGCACATTTTCAACTCTAAAGTTGATGTCTATTTAGTTCTAATACTTCTTTTAAACCAAGGGGTTGAACTCTCCTCTTTCAGGCACAGGTTTAGTGAATTCATGAAAATCTTGTCTTCCTCAGGGCATTTCATGAATTTCAAATTAGACCCTTTATGTACTGACTCCATTTTGTCAAGTCTATTAGGCTTAACTAGCATTATTTGAACAATCCCACATTGGACATCTTAAAGTTAAAATTCACCTGTCCACGAGGACGTGAACGCTTCTTTGCCCATGTATAATGAGGTTGATAGGATCCCATAGCAATCTCAGTGTCTCTAGTTCCTTCCATGGATCTTTGGTTGATGTTAGCAGATCCCAAAATCACATACTCGTCATCAACTATCATGCCTTTGGAGTGAACATATATCATAAATCTTCTGCTTTTCCGACTAAGTGCCTGCAGTCAGTTCAATCGATCATTTGTGATTAAATAATAATAATACTACTAATAATAATAATAACAGTGACTAATATACAGTGAAAATCTTGATTACTAGCTCTTTTTATGGAAACATAAAATTATGGACTATAAAGCAAGGTCGTTTCCATCATATCTCTCCCTTATTTTCTGCAAGAACTCTACTTCGTTTTATTATTGTTGTTGTTGATTATGAAAGAATCTCCAGTAATACTCCACAATGTACAGGTATTTGGCAGGGCTTAACATAAAACCCAAATCAAAGTAAGAGAATACATATAACGACTGAAATCAACAACTGACTAAGGATATAAGTTACCTGTGGAGAGTTTTCTGCACTAGGGCTTCCAGAAGATAAAGGATCATTTCCATCCACATCCTCACGATTTCCCAGGCAGAAGAAGTTCAAATAGTCTTGAGGAGAGAATGCCTCCTCAAGACCAACCTCCATCAAGGCCTTGTAAATGACCTCATACATCATTTGCATGGTTTTTTGCTGAGCAGTGCGAGAAAAGTTCAGTTAAATCAGAAGTATACTTGTCATAGATCAGAATGTGTGTTGGTGTTTCAATGTTCATCTTATCATGTTCCCTCATGATCTCACTTTATTTTATCATTTAACCCAATAATATCTCCAATTCCCACCAAAGAAGAATTTAAGAACTGCAAAGTTCTAAATATTTAGGACTGTTCTGATATTTTAATTGCCATGAATTACTACTGGGAAAAAAAAAAAAAAAAAAAAAAACTATAAAGTTGCATGTTCAACTTATAGACAATCTCATTTAAGCAAGAATCACAATGCTATGTATATGAAATGCTCAAGTACATTGATTATGAAATTTAAAGAAATAAGGATTGTAGGTGAATTAATTGAGATGACTTGAGCAATACTTTTATTTCAAATTGATTTAGAAATGCAGCAATTAAATTTAATAACGAAAAACATTAGAACTCAGCCTAGGCTACTAATGAATCTACCTGCCAAAATAGTATTCTCTGAGTGGCAGCAGCAGTTGGGACGCCCTCAGGCCACATGGGGATGACAATATATGCAGCAAACCTCTCATTTCCTCTGATTTTATCAGCAATCTTTAGCGCAATTTCCATTGGAATCAAATTGTTGGCACCTATGAAAAATCAGAAACGTACAAAATTAGCAATTCACGACTCCAATGTTGTAATGTCATCGTACTGCATAACATAGTCCACTCTTTTAGGAAAAACAATAAAGATAGGACTAGATAGCCTGCCGTAGATTTATAGTTTCAAAGTCTAAACATCCTTTCTAAATGGCTGTTGTCACATATTAGCAAATGCAACTTAATTTGTCATGCTGGTGCTCCCAAATGAAGGCATACTTTTTTCTTTTTCTTTTTTTCTTTTATGGTCACACAAACTGAACCCTTGGTCAACTTTAAAAAACTAATTGTTAGATTATAGGTACTGATTTTTCGGAAATTTTTTTTTTTTTAAAAAAAGAAAGTACAACCGCATATACCCAATTTGTTAAGCAAACCATATACGGAGGAGGCTTTTTTTAATGTACTTTACCTATATCTTTGTTTGAATTCCAATTGAAGGATGATCCAATGAAATATTGGTTCTCTATATAAATGTAGTGTTGGGCAGCTCGAATGGCTTTCACGTATGCTGTGTGTATACTCATGTCAATCAGCACATTCTTTCCACATACGAGGTTCTGCACGGTAAAATATTAGGGAATAAGCATGTTAGACGACACAAATACAAAATAAATACATGCATATATGTGCAAATTTTATATTTATTTGATTGGAAATATAGCAATCATAACCGTCCTTTACCTTGCTTGGGGCATCTTTTGGGTCCTTCGGGAAATCTTTAACAGAACTTGAATCAATTGAACGAAAAATCTGCAGTATTACTCATCATTGAAAAATTCCACAAGGAACATAGAGAATTCATTAAAAAGGTTCAATTCTCTGTTACATAACTAAACAGGTCTAAATCACAACCAGTTTCAATTGCCGAGGCTTTTACCACCTAAATAAAGGTCCACATATGCATTAAGAAGGGTTTAAAACATTACCTGCACATGCCATGATTCAGGATCATTTTCATAGTTACAGTACGCTTCAGAAATTCCAATTATGTCATGAATTCTTTCAATACGCAGCAAAGCATCATCATATGATTTCAACTTTTTTATCCCGTGAGGTTTTGAAGCTCTCCTCCATCGCTCCTCAAAATTGGTCAAAACATCATATGCTGCTGGACCTTCAATTTTGCTGTGCAGATCATGCCACGGTTCTCTTGGACAACCAACAGTACTACCCTGTTCAACTAAATAATTTTGTAACTTCATAAAATCAAATCAAATTTTAGTAACCCTAGATGCAATGATATATTTAATTTTTTTGTAACAGCCCAAACATTTTTTCTCCTAAAATTCTCTTTAGAAAGATGTTAAAGGTTCCAGTCTGGTGTTTTGTCTAACTGATTATTGATTTCATACGTTCAATCTCTAGTTATTTTCAACTAGAATAGAATTGATGATTTATCTCTCTTCAATAAAAGCATTTTCACTTGTTGAAATGTAAATGATAACACACCCTTCAATCTATCAGACAAGATATTAGCCACGGTATTTTAGATACTCGTAAACAAGCTAATAGGTCTAAAGTCTTGCACCTTCTTAACATTTTCTTTCATTAAAGTAAGATAAATAAAAATTTATGCAAGAGTTTTGGGTGACCTTCCCCATTAAAATCTTAGAACACTCCCAAACATCATTTTAAAATGCTTCAAAACTTGTTTAGCAATTTTGTAGAAAAACCATCCTGCCTTGAAGCCTTTGACACCCCCAAAGGGATCAAGACTATCAAAATTTTATTTTCTTCCAAAGATCTCTCAAGCCATCTACTTTCTTCTCATGATAAATAGGTTGCCATTTTAAGCTATGAGTACCTCATTTCCAGAATAAAAACTTGTCTAGAAAACTCAAAATTCCCCCTTCAATATTTTTGGCTTCCGTTTTTCACACTACTCTTCCCCCAACCTGATATCAGTTCTCTATTTTCATCACAAAGCTCTTTAGTCTACTGGATGCAAGAAACCTGTAAAAAGAAGGCTAAACTTTCCTCCCCGTCTCTTAACCAAACAAGTTTGCATCTTTGTTTAACAATAATTCTTTCCTGATGTTCTTCTATAGAAATAAAATCGACATATTCCTCTCCATCAAATGTTGCCTCCTTATTTCTTCTTTTTCTTCTACTTCCTCCCCCTAAAATTTTCAGCTTATTAAGTCATATATTTTCAAAACAAGAGTGAAGGACCGCACATAAGGTTCCCTGGTCAGAAATGACTCTCACGAGCTAGATTCTCTAAGCATATCCAACCAAAACCAAGAAAAAAGATATCTATTGATCAAAAACTGAATAGCCATTTCTCCCAAGTTTGGCAACGTGAAATTCCAATTGGACACAACAAAGTCTTCTATAACTTTGTTGTATTCCTTAATACTAGTTCTTCTTCCACCATTTAGATTTTCAAAATAATACCCTGTGACTTCTACAAATATCAACAATGTAAACTCCACTTCTTCAAATATTGCGTAGCTTGCCCTGCTGCTATAATATGAACTTCAGAGATTCAATACTTGAATCTTCTCAAGAGGATATTGCACCCTACATTGCAGCAATTTAGATGGTGCTTTTTTGGAAATCACACTTACGGAAAGCCATGACTATCGGTTGAGTCATTTTTTAACAATGAAATGGTATATACTCTTATACCATACAGTACAAGTTCGTTGAATTGTCTGCCAATATTGTATTTCTTGCCCAATTGAATGAGGCTTCTTTTCTCAAAGAAACGATCAATATCGGTCTTCTTCCATCAAAATAATTGTGGATATATTGAGGCCTTTGACACAGTTTTATGAATATAATACAAGAGTATGGTCATTTCAGTCCAATGTTTCTCTTTATTTTGAGGGACAGTCTTTTATTCTTGATAGTATGTTTTTTTGTTACTCAGTTCATTCAGGCAGGCCACTTTCATTTTATGATCCCCTTTTCATTTGTTCAAGGTCTTCTCCTTACCTTTTTGGTGCTCTCATCTCATGTACTTCAATCTCTATAATGAAAGCCTTGTTTCTTCATTGAATGGGGGAAAAACTAGATGAAGAAACTAGTATGCCCTTAAGAATAAACTTGGGTTAGCAAAAAAGGGGGAATATACTAGGGTTACTCAGATTTTTGGCATAGATCAAACTTCCCTCTTGCATCCTATTACCGCAGAACCATATTAACTATTAAAAGACAAAGTGGGACATAACAGATTACCGTGTATGTAGGATTGTGGTAATCATCCTTGTGTACTGTTTGAAGTGTCCGAAATATGGGATGTGATGGATTATCATACCGCCCGTCACATAAATCGAGCCCTCCAACAAAAGCTATGATTTTTCTTCTATTATTTCCAGCATCAGCATCCACAATAACTGTTTTCTGATGGTGTGTATAGATAGTTCCAACTTCCTGATTATTGAGAAAGATGAGCAAGAATCACAAAAGGCAATATTTTGTTTTAAAAAAAAAAACAATGCAATTAAACACTCCCAAAAGTTCCCAATATGAGACCTCGAAAAAAGAAAATAAAAGAAAAAGAAAATTCCCAAATATGATAATGAGTTGAAGAATAATTTTGTAATTTATCCAAAGAATGGCTTCCTTTAGTCCCCTGACGTTGCTGCTACCATATTAAAATAAAGAAGATATAAAGTAACCAACATATTCCTTTTTAAGGAACAAAATATACTAATCGCAAGGATAAATTCTAGCTTTTTTAGGGAAAAAATGAGCTTAATTATCAAAAGTTAAATAACAATAGAGATGAAAAACATATGCGGTCTAGTAGTTAGAAGAATGACTTTGATAGCAAGTACAGGTACAACACACGGTCACAAGATAGCTGAAACTAGAGTGCTCAAAGATAAACTGAAATGGCCCAACATGAGCAAAGCTCAATTGGCATAAAATATGTACTCTCAACAAAATTAACGGCTTGACCCCATCCCGCCACCCCACGTATTGCAGAACTAAAAAAAAAGATCAATTGAAATGCTTTAAAATGCTCAAACGTAAAGCGTCTAATAAGGCAGTATGAGAATAAAATGATGTGAAGATTGTAATGCCTGAGGATGCAAGAGGTCAAAAGATTGACCCCCATCCCACACCCTACATATTGCAGAACTGAAAAAAAAAAAAAAAAGAAGATAAACTGAAATGCTTCAAAATGCTCAAACATAGAGCGTCTAATAAGGTAGTATGAGAATAAAATGATGTGAAGATTGTAATCCCAGACTATGCAAAAAAAAAAAAAAAAAAAAAAAAAAAAAAAAAAAAAAAAAAAAAAAAAAAAAAAAAAAAAAAAAAAAAAAAAAAAAAAAAA